ATATATACACATTGGGCTTTAGAATATCATATAATTATATAATTAATTATATAAAAAATATATTCGAGTATCTCACGAGCCTATCGAGTCGAGTATCAGATAGCTCGGCTCGACTCGTTAGTATGTCGAGTCGAGCTCGAGTTCGAGTCGAACTTATTCGAGTCGAGTGTTGACCGAGTGTTGACCGAGTCGATTTCGAGTAGCTCGCGAGTTGTCTCGTCTCATTTACACCCCTAGCAATGACCACAACTTCTATTATTCACATTGAATGTGATTCCCCTAAATTCAGCATTCCAAGTTTTAAAATGAGAGATAAGTTTATCAATGTATTATTTTATGTGGTGTTTTTTTTTTCTTTTCTTGAGCAAGACTATATTTTAAAATATTAATATATATATATATATATATATATATATATAGTTTTGTTTCTTGAGTAAGACTATATTTTAAAATATTAATTAATATATATATATATATAGGGAGAAGATCAAATGTTAACTAACAATTTTGTGTTAACTTTGAAAACCATGACAACCAATCAAATTCCATTCTTCTTGTAGGTTTATGTCATGTTCACATTTTAATTACAAGGGTATTTCAGTAAATTGATTTGATATGCAACTCCCAAACAATTAATGGGGAGTTACAAATCATCAAATCCCAAAAAATATACATTTATGGTATTAATATATATATTTTTAATCTTGATCTTCCATGTTTATTGTTTTATCAGTTTTTAATTCGCATAGAAAACACGGTAGTAATTTTTTTTGGTATCAATCAAGCTAATATGGATAAACACAATGGAATATAAATCGACAACAGTGAGAAGATTAAAATGGTTTATGATGACAATCGGAGTTCGAGGTCGGAAATTGAAGAAATTAACCAAAACGAATGTCTTGGTAATAGATTTTTATTTTTTTAKATTCGTTTTAATCGAAATTATGTTCATTACGATGTGTTGTGTTTTTTTTATAATTCATCTTGTATTGATAGCTTTTTTTTAATTACTAAAATACGTACCTAAATCACATGTTCAAATGGAAGTACATGCACGACCCATTTTCATATTGTCATATTACCGACTTTTATGAATCATGAACCATTGTGTTCATGTTACGTCTATCATATGAACACAAGTGTTATTTTTTAAGCTTGATACCAAATCTTTATATTTGTGTAAGTGTTTGCACCCGGTGTTCATAGCGTTGGGGTTATGTGTTCATATATTTTATACGATATGAACAAGGGGTGAACACGATATGAATAAGGGGTGAACAACCATATAAGATCAGAAACATATATGAACAAGGGGTGAACCTTAAACGGTGTGGATGCAATGCATGTATAAAACTCCAATTGACAAAGGATCGCTCATGAATGTGTTTATAATTAAGGAACTATTGTTCACAATCTGTTCATATCGTGTTCATACATGTTTTTTTTACTTATTTCCTTTCGTATAACAATTTTTCTTATTATGTTCATATTGTGTTCATAAATGTTATGCAGTCCAAGTTCATATATATGTCAAATTTTTGTTCGTATTTGACACAATGGTTTATATATATATAGTTGTATTCATATGGTTCTTACATTAACAAAAATAAATTAACAAAAAAAATCATAGAATTTTTTATATTGTAACTCCCAATTAATTAATGATATGAGAGTTACATAATTTTTTTTTAACCTGAATACTCTTTTTAACTTTGTTCACTTATCTTTATGAAATTTTAAATTAAAAATAATAAGTTTTTACCATGATTAATCACAACCGTTTATTGAAAGATTGAATGGTCAAGATCGATTAACAAAGTTAACACAAAAACTTTGGTTAATATTTGAACCTGACCCTATATATATATATATATTTCTTGAGTAAGACTATATTTTAAAATATTAATTAATATATATATATATATATATATATATATATATATATAGGCTGGTTCATTTGTTAATCTAATTTTTTGTGTTAACCATGTAAACTAATCTTGGCCCTTAATTTTTAAAATCTAGGGTGGAGATTAGTCATGATATAATCGTAGTTTATTACCCATAAAATCTAAACACCATAGGTGAACAATATCACTTAAGGGTATTTGTGGAAAAGATACCCTGCAGTCAATTTACATCCATTACTGAACGGTAATTTCTCCTACATCGAATCGAAATCTACTTCAATCTCCGATCACTGGTGCGACAATCTGTGACTGATATCTGGTTCATGATTTTGATCCTAAACGATGGAGGATTTGGGAGGATTTGACGGTGTTAACAGTCCGTTAAAAGGTACAACAACAATTTCTAAGGTTTATGATATCGCTAATGTATATAACCCAATGATGATTTTGAATATCAATGTTCAATTAGGAAGAAGGAGAGAATAATGATAAAAATCATCTTTCTCAAACTTCAAAACACAATCGAAAACCCAGTTTATGTGAATACATAAATATAATTGGTGAAATTATAGAGGGTCAAAGTTCGAAGAAAGGGGGGGAAATCAATGGATACCAAAGTAGTATCACAGGAAGAATGTCAAGGTAAAATTTTGAGTGACTTTTTCATCATTTAAACTTGTGGTTTTTTTATTAATATTTTTTGTTCTAAAGTATTCACTCTTTTAGTTAAAATTCTTTTTTAATGAATGTGTTCATGAGTGGGTGGTAGCTTAGGAGCGTTCGTGTTCACACAATGCGCACAAAGTTCTCATAGTGGCGGTGTAAGTGCATGTCAACACTATGATCGCTTGCAAGTAATAAAATGATAAAATACCGAGATCGTTTCCATATGGATTAAACTACTGAGAATCGGAGGATTTCATGAACTTCTTGAGCATATTTCGGTTTGTGATTAAAAGTTGGATTTTGTTAATAAAAAGCCTTAAAATATGAAATAGATGAAATGGACTTATAAAATAAAAGATGGGTATGTGTGTAAGTATTCCTTAATATAAAAACAAAAATATAATGGTCAGAAACTTATGAGATGTTTATAAAAATTCCAATCTCTCGAAAGTGAAGATTTATAATCATATCCCACAAAGTTCATACTCTCACCACTCCGAAGCTTGTTGATTTAGCTAAATAGAAAAAGAAACAAAATTTATACTCAGATCTCTTTGTAATATAAATCTCCAATGCTAAATCCTTAGCTAAATACATACAAAATTCGTATCTCTACGTAATTATCAAAGTTTTTTTTCAAGTTCTTTGTGCATCACCTAAGCTGTATTTTGAATCCGGCCATCTCTGGGTCAAAGATCTAATATTAACACTTCAAAGTAATCAGCTTATCCGCGTTGAGTTTTAGTCCCGACTTAAGTGACCAAGTTTACGAGGTGGTAAAACCCCCAATTATTGCATAAAAATCGTAAGTTAACTTACACCTACACCCATATATATAAATAGCTCATAATAAACATGTGAAACATAATATAAGACAAGAAATAAAATTGAAAGTTTATTTTAAACAAAATTTTGTTGCCACAGTGGTGAGATTGTGGACAGCATGTTACAATTACAACCTTAATACAAGAAAATTAATGCTAAAACTTAACTTAAGAGAAGAATAAGAGATACTTCAGCTAAGTTGTGCTTCCAAGGGATGATCTTCAAATGAACCCATGGGCCATGGCCTACTTCATGAAAACATCCTCTAAAAAGTTTAACCTTATCCAAAAATTTGTAAACTGCCCACAATGGTGACACTATAGGCACATGCCAGAAAGTGATGGTTTTTGGAATAAATTCATATCCTTTGTGCTTTATCATCTTATTAAAACTTTTTACAATAAACGGGGAAAAAAAGAAATTTTAATATATGCAAATATAAAAGAAATAAATAAGAAATAACTCTAAAAAAATGAAAGCTATCAGTGAGCATGTGGCTTAAAATTGAATCCCTTCTAATCACATATATAGGTTGTTCACTCAAGATGAACATTCCCCATGTACACATGGTTTCTCTATTCATACATGATCATTGAGGATGAACATTAAGTTCATAGGTGAACAAGGTTTAATGGTTCATATGTCAAGTCCGGGTTCACTTGTGAACTCTGTTTTCACATATGAACTCAGATATTACTTTAGTTTTCGGAACACATTCTGTGCATAAAGTGGGAATAAAAGTTCCTAAAGAAATTGTATTCTTTATTCACCATTCATTGGTGGACTTGGTTTGTCTATTCATTTATGTACACTAGGATTGATAACTTGGTTCATACGTTTTTATAGTTTATATCTTTTTCATGGTTAACAAATGAACCAAACTCTTTTTTTTTTCTCCCTCTCTCTCTCTCTCTCTCTATCTCTCTCTCTCTATATATATATATATATAGGATTGGGTTATGGAGAGAGAGAGAGTTAAGGTGGAAAGCATAAGAAGGGATCACCCTTGGATGCACATTAGGATGAGATGAATCAGATCAATCCCCTTATCAAGCGCAATCATGGGTGGGTTTGAGATTAAATGTGATCAAGGGTCCAAATCGCTTCTTACGCTTCTCACCTTAACTCTTCTTCTCCCACGATTCTTCGTATATATATATATATATACATATATATATATATATATATGTGTGTGTGTGTGTGTGTGTTACATAATGTGAAACTTATGTTTACATGTTTGAAAAACAAAAAGTACACATAAAAAGAATTCATATTGAGAAACAAAAATATGATAATCAATATCTTAAATATTAGGCGACGTTGACAGAAAAAAATCATATGAAAAATAACTTAAGGTAAAAGTTCTCGTGGTTCTCATTTGATTATTCAACATAAGGGTAACACTTTATCGTGATCATACTCATGTGCATGTGTGTAAACATACATGTATGCATAGGGGTTCTGTAAAGGCCCCACTAAACCAAATCCCAAAATACATGACATATCATATAACAGGTTCCGATATATATATATATATATAAATATAAATATATATATATATATACAAACAAATCAGTTATATCCACGCATATCAGCAAGTATCCTAAATACAATAATTGATCTAACAAAAACTAGTCCAACAACCAATTACATATTTTTTTGCCTTTATCTTCCAACCTGAGCTGACCTGCAAAAATTATTTTGAAAACGATTGAGGGTTAGACCGAAAGGGCTAGTGAGTGATTTCCCTTGTGTTTAAACCTACCATAAATAAAATGTTAATAGATTCTGTCCTGATCTCAATGTTAGAACTATCTCGGATGCCCCGCCACTTATTGCAGGTATCCCACCAATTATCGCGAATGCCCCGCCACCTATCGCGGTTATCCCACCAACTATCGTGGATGCCCCGCCACCTATTGCGGTTATCCCGCCAACTATCGTGGATGCCCCACCACTTATAGAGTTTTAAACGATAAACAAGTTCATTGACCAAAGAGTGGGCGATGAACCTTCTCATCAGGAAAAGCATTGGACGATGAACTCCCTTATCGGACAAGCCTTGAGCGATGAGAGGTCTATCCGGCCAAGGCTTGGGTCGTGAGTACTGAATCCGGCCAAGGCTTGGGCGATGAGTACTCAATCCGGTCAAAGCCTGGGCGATGAGTACTCAATCCGGCCGAGGCTTGAGCGATGAAAAGAGTATCCGGGAAAAGACTTGGTCGATGAGCTACCAATCCGCCCAAGGCCTGAAAGATAAAATCTCAAAGTTACAAGCTTTGGGCGATGACCAAGTCTCCTCGAATAAAGTGTTGGGCGGTGAAATATATCACCCGACCTAAAATATCGCCACTTATCGTAATGCCTCGACATGTTAGTCCGTATCCAAAATATGTCACATAATTTCATGTATCAAAATAAATCACGTGTAACATAATAACATGTATTTTACAAAAGCTTTGTAAAACTCACCTCATCCGATATCAACCAAAATCTCACCGAACCTCTATCCGGATCTACGTGCAAACACAACGAACAACTTACTCAAACTTCCTCTCAGAAACTCCGAAAAAAATGCCTCCCCCAGTTTTCCCAAAAACAAGCTATTTATATATATGTTGAAAGGAGATGTAAGGCGGTGCATGGGTTTGCACCTAAACACCCCCCCACCCATGTGAAGGCCTTACAAAACCACAAAATCCAACCATGCTATGGACCAATAGTTTTAAATCACATGTAGGTGCCCACTACTTCATCTTTGGCCTCTCTTCTTCCATCATCTATAACATTTTCCCCTGAACTTTCCGTCATTATTTATTTCGAAACTCGATCAATATAAATTAAAATTGAACAATACAATATCCTCTCATTAGAATAATTCCGTCCCTGAATTCCATTAAGTAAACAAATAAGGATACTTTACTCTCTTCTTAGCCTCGAGTTTGCAGGTGGATTCTGGCCCCTTTTGTTATCGTCACTGTACTTTCACTAGTTTAATCTCTTTATTTCTCACAATTTTAACTTTGAAATTAGTAATGGATTCAAGTGTCTCTTCAAAACACAACTTTTCATCAATTTTGATTTCTGGTAGTGGCACAACTACTTCTAGATTTGCTAGACACTTTCTTAGATTTGATACATGAAAAGTGTTATGAATACCACTCAACTCCATAGGAAGTTCTAGTTTGTACGCCACTTCGTTCAATGATAGAAAACAGTCCAATATACCTTGGACTCAACTTACCTCTATTCCAAAACGGACAACTCCTTTTCAGCGTAATACTTGTAACATCACCCTATCAACAATTTGAAACTCAACCGACTTACAACGCTTATCAATGTTACTTTTATGCCGATTCTGGGCTACTTTTATTTGTTCACGATTCTGATTAATCTTATCTGTCGTCAGCTGAACTATATCAGGTTCATCCAATTGTTTCTCTCCCACTTCGTTCCAACACAACGGTGTTCTACACTTTCGCCCGTATAATATTTCAAAAGGTGCAACCTGAATACTTGAACGATAACTGTTGTTGTAGGCGAACGAAATCAAAGGCAAATGGCTATCCCACGATCCTCCAAAGTTAATAACACATGCCCGTAGCATATCTTCGAGCATCTGGATCGTTCGTTCACTTTGTCCATCGGTCTATGGATGATAAGATGTACTCAACTTTATCTATGAACCCATTTCTCTATGGAAACTCTTTGTTGGTCCTGTAAGGGTCTACAAGAAGAGAAACAGTTCGTAGAAGGGGGGGGGGAATGAATACAAACACAATATTTTCAAATTTAAAATATATATTGATAGAGAAGATCAATACAAATTTTACAAGATTGTTTGCGGAAAGATAAGGTAATAAAACCTATCTAAACAATCTTTGGTTACACACAAAGCTTTAGCAATTACAAGAAAAGAGATTGCTAAAAGAAAGATC